AAATTTAACAAGTCACTCCAACCCCCTTCCCCAAGCCCCCAACCTCCAGGATTGACCATAGCAACTTTTATTCTGGGCTCCTTAAAAATTTCCTTAGGCAACAGCCTTGTCTTAAGGTAATTCCCCTGAAATAAAACTGTCAATAGATTTTTGTTCAAACTTTGTCCACTGAATATTTATCATATGAGAACTTAAATTATAAAATAAAAAACGGGGGTGCCCATGCTCGTTAAGGAGCAGTGAGGCATTGAAAATGTCCCATTTTAGCATTATTAAATGCTTATTACAAGAACACATTCCAAGTTATTGTAAACTCTTTGTGAGCCCAGACTCATGAAAACACTCCTCAAACTACAGTCAACACTGATGTTGACAGAACTCAATATCAAGGCAAATCCGCCATGTTTTCAATGTGTGCATGCACGAGCTCGCACAAATGACGCCATAAATTATGCACAGTAAGGATACGCAATGCAAATGTGAGGAATCACCTTAAGGCTCATGCAACTTGGAGAAAATTTCCAAATATCACTCAAAGTGCAAAATTATCCTTAACTATGCTCACATTCAAATATTAATTACCCATATTATCTCTATTGTGGCCATTACCTGAGATTCAAAGAAATGTTGCATCCAATGCAAGTGAAATGCTGAACACACCAGCACTTGTGAAGAGCATTTACCACTGCAAGAAATTCATAATGGTCAGCACCATCCATGAGATATAGTAAATCATAATAAAATTATTCAATTGTGCACATAAAATATTCATCATGTCACTTCAAGTCCATGTTATAACTCGAAAAAGCATTCACCTATCCTGTAGACCACTGGCAGTCAGTCTTTCCTATTTGGATCACTTAGGCAAGTGTTTAGCGATTGCAAAATTAATGCAAAAGGGTGTTTTGGATGAGTAGGGAATGCCTCATAATGCCTGCTGAATTGCAAGAGAAAAACAAACTGTCAGCAGTCTACTTATCCTGGGAGTACCAGGATTTTTGAAGGTCGCCCAAAAATATCTAAAGATGTCCAAAGATTTCTGAGGACATTTCAAAGATTTCTGAGGATGTTCCAAAGATGTTGTGAATGCATTTCCTGGTCAAAGTCCCTTGAAAATGGAAAAATTAAAAGAGTTGTTCTATCAGTTGGTTGAACTTTTCTTTTCATTGGTCATTTTCAAGTTTACTTATGTTACAATGTATCAGTTAAAGCTGTTCAGTAGTAGCTCAATGTTTCAGTTAGGCATTCATGAGAAGTTGGTAGTTAGCATGATAGTCAGCCTGTAAGTTGTAGTGTTTAACACTGCAAATTACTTACCATCTCCCACAATAGCTTTATTGCATTCAAAGCATATATCACCAAACAACTATGGACAGAGGAAAAGGAAGTTAACACCCATGCTTACATAACATTTACGTATTGTTAAAATACTGCACAAAATGTCTTTTACTTAATATTATTTTCTGACCTGATAATTATACTATTATTGTCAACCTTGGATATTGTTTTGGGAGATACCATGGCTCCATGCTTAGTGCACTCATCTCCAGATCAAGTAGTCCGAGTTTGAGCCCTGGCCAGAGACACTTCACTCTCAAAGTGCCTCTCTCCATCCAGGTGTATAAATGAGTATGGGCAAACTTAATGCTGTGGGTAACCCTGCAATGGACTAGTATCCCATCCATGGGGGAGTAGAAATATTCCTAGTCGTGTCATGCTACAGAAACTGTGATAAGCTCCAGCCTGATGGGCCACTTTGCTCATATGCAAACTATGCCTTTACCTTGGATACTAATGTTTGAAAACTTCTCAGTGAGCTAAACTGAGCTATGTATTTGACTTTTACAATGGATAGCCTAGGACATCACTATATTGGTACTACTGTCACTTGCATCTAAGCGTGAACACGTGACACCAAAACATGCTCTAATTGGGAGTCAAACGTGGCTTGATTGGTCATCAAACATTTGAAGTTTAGCATAATGTAACGCAAACTTTCACGCTCAGAAATTAATGTTCACCATCAACAAATACAGGTGAGCATTCTCCCTAGGATTACCAGTAAAGGTAGCTGAGATGTCTCTTTTGGAATGGAAACTCATCTTTCTTGGAGTTTCATTGATTTTCTTTGACACTAAAGAGCGATGCTCTGCAGTTTTGCCTTTGCATGTATGGAGTTTTGTGACCATGTTAAAAATCAGTCTTTGATGTCCTTTGGGGATATATACTGAAAGACTGAAAAGTCTTGCTCCTGCCAACATTTCATGGTTATACTAGACGTAAAACCACTTTCACAAAAGGTGTATGCATATTGACGCAGGTCAGGTTCAATTTCTCTGAAGAAGTCTTCAATGTCCAATCTTTCTGCCATTTTGTGTGCTGACCACACTTTCTGTAGTCTTATAGTTCCTAAATTCCAGAGATTGTCTTAAACGTTGCAGTGAAACTGTAAAATCCACATCCCAAAAAATAAATTGTGGTCAATTTTTCAGGTTTTGATTGGACCCTGAAGGAGTCATTGTGTTCAAACATCTTCCAAAAATTAGAGCCTCTTTAAGCCCAACTGACTCATAACTGTTGGTGCTTAACTCCAGTTTCTGAAGCATGAAGCAGCTTAGAGTATTGCTATTCCCCCTGGATGGGATACTATAATCGTGACAAAAGTCCTTGGGACACTTATGTAATGTAACAAATTATCTGTGCTTTAGAACTGAAGTTTGAAAAAAATGCTGCTATATGCTTTAAAGACGTGTTGCTGACCCCCCTCCCCACCCAACACAATGTGAAAATCAGGTGAAATTACAGGTACTAGTTTTCAACATTGTATGGGACATGGGGGGCGACGTTAGGCTGGTGAAGTTGATTCGCGTCTGGCGTATGCGCAAACGTGCCAAAAGTGCAAATTTGTCCCAAGACTTTTGTCCATGATTGTCTGAATTTCAGTTGAGAAATGAAATGTCACTTTTCAGCAGTTTTCCACAATCTAAATGTGTTTTTTCTTGACTCTGTGAATAGATTGTAATACAAAGACTATTTTTGAGCTATTTTGTGGTTTATTTAAGCATATTTTTTTTCTCTTTTCAATTTTTCCCAGCGCAAACGCATGGTGTAAATCGGAATTTGTTCTATCTGATACTCGCGCGTGGTATTTGAAAGGACACACATGGTTAACGCTTGAGGCAGAAACAGGCATAAGGCATTATAGATTATTGTGCATATGGCAAGAATGTCTGTTGAATAGCGAGTAAAAGTCTTTTTTTTATAAGGAAAACAGAAGATTTTCACCACAAGAAGTCGTGCAGAAATGTCAAATCTCCAAGTCATCTGTATCATGAATATGATACATGTAGTGAGCAGGCATCGTAAACTAAAATTTCATCCGAAGGGTACCGAACCAAATATTAGCAAGTTGTTTCCCACCAGTGGAAGTCGTTTCTTTTCTTTATTTACGAAAAAATATTGTGACATTTTTTAGTGTTGTGGACAATGAGTTGGTCACTCCTTATTTGCATAACTCAACAGTTCTCAGCAACAGTACTCACTTTAAAACCTTAAAATCTGCCTACCTATTTCCGAAAGGTCACATTTAAGACATGTCGAAGTGAAATGTGTTTGGCAATCGATCTTTTTACACTTTTATAGCTGGGAAAAACTTAATTTTGAGCTCTGCAAGCACGGTACTCACTTTCCATTGTTAAGAATTGTATAAAGTCAATTCTTCCACACTGAATCAAATGAGTACCGTTGTATCTACTGCCAGCGTGCTGTGACGTGACTTTTGTGAAATAATTTCGAAACAGTACCATAAATCTCGTGTTGAAAAGTAGTTTCGCTGGTTTTCTTAGTTGATACTTTGAAAACATTGACGTAACACTGTTTTTCTTCGCCACTGAGTACTGTGCAATGATCAATGGACGGTGACGTCACTACGAAGAGCATAGTGCCTCAGTATACTTAAACGCGCTGTAATAACTGTTAAGGTGATCACTAAGATTGACTTAAATACCGAATTTGTCGTTTAAGTACTTGAAGTGTTGTACATTATAATGTAAACAATTCGTTACGCATCTAAATCAAGCGACGCCGTTATCACTGCCATCACATACAGAAGTCTGTAGCTTAATTGAGATCAACACCCTTCCCGATCGGTCCAAAACCACTGACTTGAAAATACGGAAAAGCTTTGCAAAAGTTCTTAGAAATGCCTTTCTAATCTCAGATGTTCGCATTCTCGGTTTCTAAATACATTTAGGGCTAAAAAACATCCTGATTGTGCATT